TTCACCTGGTGCTTTTGAGCATCACGTGGGACAATGGGTGGAACAGGACTTTCTAGATGAATCCACACACACACGTGAACCTTGCTAATATTACTGTTGACCATTTGACCACGTCTGCTGATTTCGGGACCGCCAGAGCTTAATAAGCCCAGGGTCTCCCATAAAGGGAGCCCCAGGTAATTCTAATCGTCTACCTTCCTCACATATCACCTTCTCTCCTGGTTCCCAGCTCAGAGAATGATACCGAGAGAGGCCGCTGAGAGACGGAGGCTACTGTCTTCTGTGGAAAGGTGATGGATCTTTCCCCTTGTCTCCACGGCCCTGTTGAAAGCATGTTCTGTGCCTTTCAGGGATTAAGTGCCCACTGCCAAGGCCATGGGAGGGGTCGCCATGGGAACAGGACTGTGAGCGAAGGGCTTGGGGGAGGCTAGCAAGTGGATTGTGATGTCACGGGAGGGGGCAGCAGGCTTCATGGGGCCCCACCCCACTGCACCTGCAGGCTCCCCTTCCCTTGTCACGGTCCTGGCTGCAGCTTAGTACCTCCTGTCTTCTGCAGACCCCTGGGACACAGCCATATGAATATCGTCTTCCATCTACATCACCCGGCACACCCACACCCCCTCTGTGACCTGTGCCAGAAAACAGCAAGGAAAGGCACACCATCCCTGCCCAGGGAATCCCTCCATGCTGCTGCTCCCTCTGCGGCCCCTTTCGCCTCCAACACCGCCTCGCTGTCAGCAAGCCTTCCAGGACACCAGCCTCCAGCCCCTCCGCCCCACCCTTCTGCACCCCAGCCTCTTGACGTTCCCCGTCCCTCAGATCACACTCCACGAGCACAGCCGCTTCTCAAACCTCAGGCCACTGTCTCGTTGGAGAACATACTGTTTTTCGGCCTCTGCCTTTCCCGAGATACTTTCCACTTTCCACTTTCATCCCCGGCCACGCATCCCACTCACGCCGGTGCGCGTCACCACGCACCGCCAGCCCCGTCTGCTCCACCACCGCCAGATGGCACTTTAGGGATGACTCCACCTAAACCAGCTCGCGCCATTCAGAACCTTGGTCTGGACATGTTCTGTGGTGGTAGCACTCGTGAACCGTCCCCTCTTTTCTCTCCAAAGAGAGGCACTGACCCTCCAAAGCTGACAGTGTCAGCATTCTTCTGGTGGCAGCCTCATGCCCAGGACTTGTTCCCCTCCAAATGGGCACCATGTGATTTTAAGATGCAGCTTCTCGCCCTCCGCTGTTCTGAAGCCTCATATGCAGGAGACCCTGCAGCCAGCCTCGGAGTGTCTGCTTCCCTCTCCCTGCCCAACTCTGCCCTGCTGGCTCTCTGGGAGAGACTAGTTAGCAAGAGGGGGAATTTCCTGATGTGGAAGGGAGTGGAACTATACGTGGGCTCTATTCTAAACCATCTGAGGCCAGGCGAACATCTCACTGCTTCAGGGACCACGTTGGCAGCAGCTGCCACTCAGCAGGGCACCCCAGGTTCCTTCCCTCGCTGCAGCAGCGAAGGGAAAGCAGCGGAGCTGCACCTGCGCCCACAGCCCCTGTGCCCTGACACCTCAGAAGACGAACAGCAGCAAAAACACCTGGAGCTGCTCTGGCAGCTGCTGTCTCTGTGTGGCAAGTCCCTGCACTCTGTAGTCCTTGTCCAAGACAGCTGTCTCCCCACATTAGTCTTCATCACCACAAGCTCACATACCTTCAAAGCTGAAGGATTCCTGGCAATTGACCACCTCGACCTTCTGTGCTTGCCCCAAACCCTGCCCCAGTCTCAGTCCCTAACCCTCACCCAGGTCCGGCCTCTGGCCCCATTTCTATCCCCACTCCCCATCCCACCACCTGGGCCTCTAGGCCCGATTCAGATCTGTGGGGTGAGTTTCCTTCAGAAGAAAACCGGAGTCCACTGTCAACCCAGGCTCATACCACCCGGGTGGGGCTCATGCAACACCTGCTGCACCCGTGGGTGTCGGTCACTAGTAACTGATCACAGACAAACTCGCGCCATGTCCATGTCAATGTGCCATCGTCCCCTCTCCTGGGTTTCGTTCATACGCGGTCATGGCAGAAAAGACCTTCAATATTTGCTCTTCAGCCCACCTAGCTTCCGAGAGACCAGCTCAAAAATCCCACTAAAGAAGGATGTCAGCAAGAATCAGGAACTAAGCAAGAAGAATGGCGCAAGAGTTCATCTGAGCACAAAAAATTCAAAACATGGAATCTCCAAGTCCACAGGAAGAAGCTTTAAAGAATTTCTTGGAGAAAAAGTCAGAACAACAAAATCAGCTCCCAGCCTGCATCATCCCCTCCCTGCCTCATCCCCTGCGGGAAAGGGGGCACAGGGAGACCTAAGACCGTCCCCCTCTGGTGCCAACTGTGAACTTCCAGAGAACGTCTGGACAGCTGAGGATGGCAGGCAGACTGGCCTGCAGCCCCCTCAGGGCAGCACAGATGACATGTTACAGGAGTCCCCTGGGAGCGCTACTTCCCCAGCCACGCCAGCGGAGGGACAGCCTCCGGATCAACCACGCTTGAGAAAGCGAATGCTCCGACTGTGGCAGTGGCTTCGTAAGCCCAGAAGAAAGCCCAAGGGGCAAAAGAATTGTCTGTGGGAGGGCAGCTCCCTGTCGTCTCAGGAGACTTCCTCAACTGCCCTCCTTGGGGGGCCTCAACACCCTCCCAGCTCCCCCTCCAGGGCTCAGGGAGTCCACAGTCCTCCGGCCACCCCTTCCCGTCCTCAGAACACTGGAAGAATTAGGAAACTTTTCCCCTGCATTTGCTGAGGGGGAAATCACTCCCCAAAAACTTCAACATGGTTCTCTGAATAAATGCTCTGCAAGAGTGATATCTGTTGCGTGTGTTGTGTTGGGGGCACAAGTTTCGAGTCACCTAGAGCACGTGCTTCGTAGGGACAGGCTGGAGTTAGTTCAGCACTTCCTCACGGCCTCTTTTGGCTTCCAAAAGGTGACCAGTCCCCTGGAGCTCTTGTGGAGGAATGGCTACCATGTGGCCCCACACTCGTTCCCTGCCTGAAGTTGGAGTAGATGGGCTCTGTGTCCTTCCACGTAGCTTTGCCTCGTGACATTACGCTGCAGCCCACGCCTTCCCCCTCATGTGGTTCACAGCCTTTAGGGCAGTAAAGACAACGAGTCTTCCATAGCTGAAGACCAGGGCAAAGACAGGCAAATGTTTAAGAACATAGTGGCTGAATCATTTCTAAGAAACATCTGTCCGTGACTAGAGGATCACATGCGTGGGTGCAGGGTGGGGGCGTCACTGCTGCAGTGGGGGCTGGCCTGGGTGGGGGAGGGCTGAGGAACGGCAGATGCTGCCCAAGAACCTGTCCCGTGGGGTTGGCTCAGGAGTTGGGGAAGCACACGTGGACCCTGATGCTGTGGTGTCCGTTCTGCAACTCCCCGTGGGAAGTGGCCCCTCCCTGGCACATTTCACAGGTTGCCAGGACTGATGACATTTGTAGTTCAAAAGGATCACTGTGTTGTCACATGCAGCAATGTCGCCCAGGCAATCCCTGACCTCCCAGGGTCAAATACAGTTGATACTGTCTTTCCCTGAAAATAAGACCTACCCATAAAATAAGCCCTAGCAGGATTTCTAAGCATTTTCATAATATAAACCCACCCCGAAAATAAGACCTAGTGATGGGCATGGCTACACAGTGCATCTGCACAACCCATGCCTTTCGTCCCGGAGTGGTAAAAAAGATGAGCAGCCCTTCTCATCTGCCCATCGTGACAGCTACTATCCCAGAGGTGACCTGAAAGGTGCAGGCAGCCCCACCAAGGTCAGCACCCCCGTCAGGTCCCAGCTGTCTTATGTGCCGCAAGCTGAGGCTTGGAGGGGAAAATAACACATCCCCTGGAAATAAGCTCTAGAGTGCCTTCTTGAGAAAAAATAAATATAAAACCCTGTCTTATTTTCGGGGAAACACGGTATAAGGAAAACATGCCTCACATAAGTGGAAAAGTAAGGAGAAAAAAATGAAGATGGGAAAGAATGTCCTTGCTGGGGGATAAAGGTGTCTCTGCCCTTGTCGTGCCCCTGTCCTGCTCCCCCTTCCCAGTCTGATCCAGGCACCACTTCCGTGAGGCTCATCAGGGCGCTGCTCAGCTCACTGATGGCGTTTGGAAGAAGCGTACACGGGGCTGTTCTCTGGGCACCAAAGCAACATCTGCAAGGCTGTTGTCGGGCTCAACAATTGCCCCCTTAGGGAAGGTGACCTCAGTGCCCTCCTTCCGTCTATGCTTGGTGACGGCTTGCAAGGTCTTCCCTTAGTGTGCACAGTTCATCCATCAGGATTGAGGGGCCACTTGTGATCTTCACGGGCCTGGGGGAGCCACCGTAGCTATCCCCCAGAACACCTGCCCCTCATGCTCCACAGGTGAGCCCTGGACTGTGCCCAGGATTGCTGAGATTTGGGGCTTCCAATGGACATTGACAGAACAGTCTTTTTGGCCACGACCGGCCACCCATCAAATAGAGGTCTGGAGAGAAGGCAACTCCACTAGGACAGACAGGGACTGGACTCAAAGATAGGTGAGTTTCCTGCAGGACACTTGAGATAGCTTTTCCAGAAAAAACAATTTGTGAATGCTGGCTGTCAGAACACAAACAAACAACAGATGTGCACTGCAGCCTCGACTCTGCCTCTACATCTCCGAGCTATGCCATTGACCCTCAGTGTGTGAAGCCCAGGGTTGCTGAAGGAATGCAGAGTCTTGGGAGGCCCTGGGAAGGACGAAAGGAGGGATGGGTCTGGAGGGAGGAACTGTGGAGGTGGAGAATCAGTGGAGGACCCGACATCCACGCGGAGAGGTCAGCCACTAACCCGGCCTCTAACTTCCTCCTCCTCCCACCTTTGTTTTCTCTACCTGCATTCCAGCTCAGCTACTGCCACTCCTGACACTGATCATCAGGAGCCCGGCTCACAGGGGTGACAGCACATCTCCACCTCCACCTTCACCTCCTCCCTCTGCTCTCCCTCTGCTTTCTCATAGTTGCACTTCCAGAAATGACTCCGCGGGAGAGAGATCAAATACAGTCCTGAGGGACAGGCCCACCGCTGCCAGGTGTCCTTACTGTCCCGCACCTCCTCAGGAGGCACTCCACACCTTTTATTTTTAAAGCTTTTGACTACAAACATGTTTAAACATACACAAGAGCAGAGAGAACAACGTATCCCCCATTCCACCATTCAGCCTTCACAACTACCAGGCACGATGAACCCATCTTTTACACAGTGATGAAAGTATAAAAGCCCACCAAACATCTTCCAACTAACCCTCCGAAGACCTGCTACGTGCCCTGTGTCAATGCTCCCACGTTCCTTGGTACTTGCCACACTCACCCACAGCGCACCGACGCAGCCTCGGTGACCGAAACACACTGAGTTACTGGCTTTGGCGTGGGCTCTGCTCCGCGTTGTGTCAGCCCTGAGGAGCCGCCTGCTCCCCCTCCCCGCTCCCTGCAAGCAGCGATCTGCACACACACACTCAGCACAACGTTGCCGCCCGTGTCTCACAAGGTGAGCATAACGGGAAAGGACTACAGAAGCAGACAACCTTCTATGTTGATAAGTACTTAAGATTGCCATATAAATGTTTTCAAACATATAGAGGAATACTGTTGCCCAGTCTAGTCTTGTACTCCTCCCATCTCAGCCTTCTAAAGTGCTGGGGTTGCAGGCCTGAGCTACCGCACCCAAGCAACACTCAACACTTAATAACACACACCCGCACACTCAGGGCACTTAGGATGCAGCTTTATGTGTATAAATACTCCTTGAAGAAAAGTATAACACATCCCCTGGAAATAAGCTCTAGAGTGCCTTCTTGAGAAAAAATAAATATAAAACCCTGTCTTATTTTCGGGGAAACACGGTATAAGGAAAACATGCCTCACATAAGTGGAAAAGTAAGGAGAAAAAAATGAAGATGGGAAAGAATGTCCTTGCTGGGGGATAAAGGTGTCTCTGCCCTTGTCGTGCCCCTGTTCTGCTCCCCCTTCCCAGTCTGATCCAGGCACCACTTCCGTGAGGCTCATCAGGGCGCTGCTCAGCTCACTGATGGCGTTTAGAAGAAGCGTACACGGGGCTGTTCTCTGGGCACTAAAACAACATCTGCAAGGCTGTTGTCGGGCTCAACAACCGCCCCCTTAGGGAAGGTGACCTCAGTGCCCTCCTTCCGTCTATGCTTGGTGACGGCTTGCAAGGTCTGCCCTTAGTGTGCACAGTTCACCCATCAGGATGGAGGGGCCACTTGTGATCTTCACGGGCCTGGGGGAGCCATGGTAGCTATCCCCCAGAACACCTGCCCCTCATGCTTCACAGGTATGCCCTGGACTCTGCCCAGGATTGCTGAGATTTGGGGCTTCCAATGGACATTGACAGAATAGTCTTTTTGGCCACGACCGGCCACCCATCAAATAGAGGTCTGGAGAGAAGGCAACTCCACTAGGACAGACAGGGACTGGACTCAAAGATAGGGTAAGTTTCCTGCAGGACACTTGAGATAGCTTTTCCAGAAAAAACAATTTTGAATGCTGGCAGTCAGAACACAAACAACCAACAGATGTGCACTGCAGCCTCGACTCTGCCTCTACATCTCCGAGCTATGCCATTGACCCTCAGTGTGTGAAGCCCAGGGTTGGTGAAGGAATGCAGAGTTTCGGGATCCCCTGGGAAGGACGAAAGGGGGATGGGTCCGAGGTGAGGAACTGTAGAGTTGGAGAATCAGTGGAGGACCCGACATCCACGCGGAGAGGTCAGCCAGTAACCCGGCCTCTCACTTCCTCCTCCTCCCACCTTTGTGTCCTCTACCTGCATTCCAGCTCAGCTACTGCCACTCCTGACACTGATCATCAGGAGCCCGGCTCACAGGGGTGACAGCACAGCTCTACACTCCACCTTCACCTCCTCCCTCTGCTCTCCCAGCGGTGCCCTCAGTTTCTCATAGTCGCACTTCCCGAAATGACTCCGCGGGAGAGAGATCAAATACAGTCCTGAGGGACAGGCCCACCGCTGCCAGCTGTCCTTACTGTCCCGCACCTCCTCAGGAGGCACTCCACACCTTTTATTTTTAAAGCTTTGACTACAAACATGTTTAAACATACACAAGAGCAGAGAGAACAACGTATGCCCCACCCCACCATTCAGCCTTCACAACTACCAGGCACGATGAACCCATCTTTTACACAGAGATGAAAGTATAAAAGCCCACCAAACATCTTCCAACTATCCCTCCAAAGACCTGCTACGTGCCCTGTGTCAATGCTCCCACGTTCCTTTGGTACTTGCCACACTCACCCACAGCACAGGGACGCAGCCTCGGTGACCGAAACACACTGAGTTACTGGCTTTGGCGTGGGCTCTGCTCTGCCTTGTGTCAGCCCTGAGGAGCCGCCTGCTCCCCCTACCCGCTCCCAGCAAGCAGCGATCTGCACACACACACTCAGTACAACGTTGCGGTCCTTGACTCCACAGTAAGTACAACATGAAAGTAATACAGTAGTAGACAACTTTTCATGTTGATAAGCACTTAAGATTGCCATATAAATGTTTTCAAACATTTAGAGGAATACAATTATTTCTGTCTCACTTTAAATGGAGTTACTGTGTTTGCAGTTAAATACAATAGATCATATGGACTCGTCTATCTCCTCTCCTTGCCTACACGCCATTCAAACTAAAGGATCATGTGAAAAGTTGCTCACCATCATTGATCATCAGGGATATATTAGCACTAGTCAAAACCACTATGAGTCATCAAATTGGTACTGATTGATTAACACTATGATACTCAAATGGTGGTGTTCACCAGGGATTCAGGG